TAGGTAAATGAAGCCAAGTCAAACCAATCAACCACAAAGGGTATGTCGCTATAATTAAGTCTTTAAATGGGACACTAGTCATCGCATTACGTATTTCTGAATCATATGCTTTAGAAAGCCCCACACAAAACCACCAATCTATTTAATTAATTAATTTTGTTAGGTACTAATTATTCATTTAAATGGGTCCCACTGGTTTGCTGGACATGACGTTCACATCACTTAACTAATATGAACTACTATAAAGCTTGGCTTTGGTTCCATATTTTTAGCCAAAAGAAGATTGCAAGTGTGTGAGTGCAACGTTTGCTTTTACGTTCTTTGTGTTTTATATTATACTTGTGTTCAAAGTAACATCATTTTTTAAGTTCGAAAGTTAAGCATTTGAGAACATATTTTTGGACACAAGCAAAATATCAGTGCAAAAATTATATTATAATGCCGATCGACTATAGTTTTGGATATAAGCACTCAGCGTAAAAAAACATATTATCATACCGAATCGTATGGAAATAAAAGAGTGGTGGAATTCATGTATACAAGTGGATCTTACAAGAATAAGAGATCATTTCCCCATTCCCCCACCTCCTACTCCTCTCTTTTTCTCACCAGTTGGGATAACACCATAATTTTATTGATCAAAGAGAACGCCCTCCTTTATCAAGATGCTTGGTTGTGCGGCTACAAGTGCCAAATTTAACCTAAAGAACCAATCATTTCAAAGTTCACATGAGCTAGCCAATTAGAGAAGAGAGTAGGATTCAAGGCATCTTAATTTCATCAAGTTGTGAAGGCTAAGATTTGATTATTATTGTTATTGCCGTGGAAAACAATTTAAAATGCGTTTTCATTTCACTTAAGGGGATGAACATGAGTACTCGAATCTGGGCTCCACCATCGAAATGATATGGTTAGTAATGTTCATCGATATCCAAGAATTATTCTGAACTCGAGTACAAATGAAGTCTCCCAAAAAAAAATTAGAAAACAAATGGAAAAGTTTGACTTTTGAGTTCATTACAAAACTGAAAGAATATAAAACCAAATTAATTTATCACTACCCAAAGGTGGAGATCGATTATAGGTAAGTCCCAAAAAATACCACCTGAATATAGTTTCAAGTGATTGGTTGTCTTTGTGACTATTGTAATCGAGTCTTTCGACTTTTATCAATGATATTTCTATTCCGTAAAATAAAACATTACTTTTGCCTAATGCTGAATTTTAATGAAAAAAGATTATGAGTATAAAAGACATTCTTTCGTGTAACACCCGCACAAGTTTCATCCCTTTTATTCACAATTGAATAATTAAAAATCATCTAAACTTATTCACAGCATCTTTGATGTCGTTGACAGACAAGTAATGATAAATAAATAAAAGATTAAATCTTCGGTCGGCCAGTACTGTTTCTCATTTTCTTTGCTTTATGTGCCGTGGGGTTTGGGAGGCCGCCTAGGCAGAGCTTGTTCTGAGGTGACTTTGTGGTGGAGGTGGCTTTCAGGACAGTGCATGATTGATCCAATCCAAGAGGAACAAGACAAATCGAAAACAAAGTCAATTTATTTTTTTATGGCTTCTTCTATTAAAGACCTTACAAAGACAGGCCCTCCATTTAACCCTAGCTTTGTAATGACACAGACACTATATTTTATTTTCCACCAATGTGTTTCTGCCATGCATTACAGACATTATCCTCATATGTTGCACAGATATTAATATTTTTCCCTATAACAATTGATACTTAAAACAGAAAATCTAAAACTATAAGTCTGACAAATAAATCTTATGTTGTTGGATATTGAAAATGTTACAAATTCGACTTTCCTCTCATTCTTTCATTAAAATTATAAATAAAAAATCAATAACAGATGTAAGTTATTTGCTAGAGTAGTGAACTCATCCCCTTACACCTAAGTTCGAGTTCCCCTCTCCACTCGTCAATATATGTACTTACCGTACACATATACTACAGAAAATCTAAACCTCACCTAACATTTTGGGCATGAAATTTTTTTATTAGTTCCTAATAGCATTTTGTAGAGACTGATCTTATATATATATATGTATGAAAGGTCCCTGTTGAGCCTTTTTCTAGTAGTATATTCCAATCTTCATGACTCGACCAGTGAATGTAGAGTGTTGTTCTATATACAAAGACTATAAAAAGAGACGAACAATATGAAGTTGAGACTGACACTTGCATGAGAGAAGCACATGCATGGATGGATATGTGAACATCAGCGCCCTTGTTTGCCATCTTTTCTGATTACAATCCAAATCTCTCCCTCTCTCTCTCTCTCTCTCTCTCTCTCGCTCTCTCTCTTTTATGCCAACTAATTTTACTAGACAAGTCAGCTCATAGTACAATGCCACCTAATTACCAGACCAGTCAACTCATAGTGTGTTGTTTATAATTATAATATATATATATATATATATAATGTGTAGTTCACTAATCAAATATCACCGGCGAAGAACAAATAATTGAGATCCATGACAAAATAATAGATCTTGACGAATACTTTGACAAAATAATAATTTTTAAATTTAAGAAGAAAATAAAGCTTATTTTAGCGATTCAAAATTTGAAAGAATTCGCGTAATCATGTTATAGCCAATCATTATGTACAAAGAGAGAAACCGTGTGATGTTTTGAGGGAAGGAAATTTTCTTTCTTACGCCATTCACTTTAAAATTTTTGTTTGGGCTAAGAATTTAATTGTTGGTGCCTCTAAATATCTAGCAATGATTGAATCACAAACTAATCTACGCTATATAATACCATCACAAGAACATCATCATCTTTAAAGGAGATCTTAAATGAATCATGAATATATCCAACAACGAAGACAATTTTTATTTCACATCTCATGTCATCTCTCGGATATCAAAAACCTAATATGGTAGCAAACGCCTTAGACAATATAGAACATTCAATCCCTAAAATATAATACAGTAACGCTTTCTTAGTACTCTCAACACTTTATTACAAACCTTTTTTTCTAGAAAATGAAAAAAATGAGAATATATTATAATTTTTTGTGGACTTTACATGAGTCCTACATTTTAGACTAAAGTTCATTTTAGACTTTTAGTTCCAACCTATGCTTGCAAGCGAAACCATTTATGATTAAACTTTGGTTTTGGTTCCCGTGTGTTGGATACGGTCCAATGGTCCACCTGTTGTTCATTTATTTCCCCAAAATTGACCCCTAATCAATCAATTTAACTAGTAAACATCAATGGCCTAAAAGGAGAATTCCAAAATGACTAAACTATATGGGTGAACCACAATTTTGATTAGGACCCAAAATGGTCCAGTCTAAGACTTAAATAATGCATGCAACTTGTCAAACGTGATCTATTCTCCTATTTTGCATATTAGCGCAAGAATTTTAAAAAAATATATTAAAAATAGCCTCTCTCTTTCTTTCTTTTTTTTTATTTTTCTCAACGTTTGATTAATTTGTTGAATTTTGTCAGTATTGTAGTGTCTGACAACTCATACATTGACACGCATAGAACTTTTTTTTCTTTTCAAATTTGGTGGCCGTAAAGATTTTCTTTTGGGGTTTAAGCAACAATCAGTATGTCTCTAAAAGTGTGTTTCATTACTTAGGTGATAAATAAAATGTGCAATCAAGAAGTTATCAAATGATACTAAAATACAGTCACATGACGCAACCAATTCACATGTTATGACATACTGTATGTAAGTGATTTTAGCATCCGGATGAGATAATAACTCTTTACTTATATGTCCTCACCTCACCCTTACCTCACCCTTGCTTTGGAAAAAATACTAACCACCAACTGCTTAGTTTTAAGGAGTCGAGCCATTCTCAATATATTATTGTGCTTCCAATTGCTTAGCTTGGAGTGTCGTGCTATTAAAGTTGTCTTCCAAGTAAGTCACGTCATTTGGAAAAAAAAGAAAAACAGCAAACTTATTAAATTGGCTGCACTACAATTCCACAAGTTACTATCACAGGCTCACAGCAATGAAAAGTGGTTACTATTACAAGTGGTCCTTGTAGGTACCTAACGAGTTAGGCGGGGCTTCCCGGTATGAGGGAGGGTCCCCTATTTAGAGCACAAAAGACTAAATCCAAACTACTCTATATATACAGAGGATGTGATGAATAATATCGTCTATAATTCGATGTTTAGTATTGCTCTTATTTTTTAGGAGTTTTTTCTTTTATTCTCTAACTCTAGTACCTATGATATTAAGGAGTTTCATTACATCATACTTATAGTAAAACACGGGGAAAATACGAGTAAAGTATGTACGCATGTTATTTAGCAAAATTTTAAAAAACTACGGTGAAAGATATGCACACACGCACGTATATAAAACACAAGTGAACTTGCTAACTAGGCATCAAAAGGAATGCCAAGCATTCTTAAATAGGAAGTTGGCATTAGAGAAGTGCTTTGATTTGGTTTGGTGATAATATTGAAAGGATGAAGAGGTTGACAGGTTGAGAGCTTGACACAATAGGGTTTATGGTATGGTGATGGATGCTCATAAATTGAGCTGGGACCCAACAACAACAAACATCAAAGGAAGGACATCAGCAAATATGCACAGTACAAATCTGAAGGGCATATGTGACATTTTCCCACACTGTTTATCTCGTTTGAAAAAAGCTGTTGAATCAGCCTCCCAAAAATTTACCTCTAAAAAGTATTTCCCACTCTATCTTTCTTGGTAGGGAAACTGTTTCCCATTATTTTAGATTCAAACCCCACACAGTAAATAAAAGGAAAAAAAAACCCATCTAAAAGATTTCACAATGCCTGTCAGAAATTTAAAAATAAAATTGCAATCTGTCTCACATTCCATGTGAAACCCCTCCCTCCCTCTCTCTCTCTCTCTCTCTCTCTCTCATACATTATATAAGCAGCCATTTCAGACAACTTTTTCTTCACTCCTCCTGGTCCTTTTTATTTTTGCTTTCTCTTTGAAACCAATAGTTTGGAAACCCAAGGAAATGGGTTTCCTATTCAAAGCTCTGTTTTCAACTCTGTTTTTAACTCTGTTTTTGGTTTCCCACCAAACAAAAGCAGAGGATTTCAATTCCTTCAATAATAATAATAATGCTTCTGCTTCTTCGACTACTACTTCTGCTGCTTCCAATTCAGTGCCCAGAAAGCTTGCAGGAAAATGCAACTGGTTCCGTGGTACGTGGGTCTACGACGCTTCCTCCAAGCCCCCCTACGATTCCTCCACCTGTCCTTTCTTAGATCCGCAGTTTGACTGCCAGAAGTACGGTCGCCGTGATTCTACTTACCTCAAATACAGATGGCAGCCCTTCTCCTGTGCCTTGCCTAGGTACCTGCTTCTCATTCTTTTAGCCCTTCTTTTTTACAGACAAATCACTATTCGACAGTGTCAGCTTCTTATTTCTGTGTATGTGTCAAACTGTAATTTACGAACACGAAAACAAGTTTTGATAAATTGAGTAAATGATATTAGAGGTATCAAACCGGCCGAGCCGGCACAAATTGAAATGGGTGCTCAAGAGAAACTTACCCTCTTTATGTTTTTTTAAATTTTGGTTTGCAGGTTTAATGGGTTGAAATTTTTGGAGAAATGGAGGGGGAAGAAGATTATGTTTGTAGGGGACTCACTTAGTTTCAACCAGTGGGTGTCTTTAACATGTATGCTTCATGCATGGGTGCCAAATTCCAGAACAACTCATTTTAGAAAAGATGGATTAGCTTCAGTCACATTCCAGGTGAGTGTGTTGAAATTATTAATTTTTTTATTTTTTATTTTTGGTTTTGAAAAGACATGGTATGATAATCATTGGATATAACAGTGCGTGCATGTTTTGTCCCTTTTAAGTCTGTAGCTTTTAAGAAAAGGTAATTAAGCTTTTCCATTCAAAATGATTTGAAATTTATTTTGCCCATTGGAACAAGAAAGAGAGATGCAAAATTGAGCTAGTTTCAAGTATGAACGATTGCCATGCTTGTATGAACTTGTGGAGAGTGTGAGAGCATTAAAAAGTGGAGCGTGATTGGTGCTTAGGCCTTTTCACTTTGCCGGTGGTATGTCAGAGGTTGTGTTCTATTTTATGTGGTAAATGAATTTTCTTTGCCGGTGGTATGCCAAAACAAAAATTACATAAATAAAAGATAGGGTTAATCGTTTTATTAGTCTTTGAATTTAGACTCGATTTGCATTTGAGTATCTCAATTTCTAAAATGATTCCCGTGGTCCTTTAACTTTAGTTTCGTTATGACAAATGGTCCTGCCATCAATTTTGTTAACTTTTCTGTTAAATGCAGGGGCAAAATAGTATATTTCTATCAAAATTGATTAAAATATGAATAAAAAAAATTTAAAAACTAAAAAAATTAAAATTTAACTCTCTCCCCTCTATCCCGATTTATACTCCCCTCAAACTTGAAATTTATTTTTTGGTTGGTTTTTTATTTGATTTTCTTTTATTGTTATTTTAAAGATATGATTTTTAATTCATTTTTTTGGTTTTAATATAAAAACATTATTTTGCCCTTGCATTTAATAGAAAAAGTTAACAAAATTGATTGCAGAACTATTTGTCCAAATAAAACTAAAGTTAAAGGACCACAAGAACTATTTTGGAAATTGAGGTACTTAAATGCAAATCGAGTCAAAGTTTAAGGACTAATAAAACGATTAGTAGGAACCCTAAATATACTCTTACTTTTACGACTTCATTTTCAACTTCAAATTTCTAGAAGCTTTACATTTCTTGATGGCCCATGGTTTTTTTGTTTTCTTTTGTTTTGTCAAACTATAGATTTGATTTATTGAAAAATCGAGACGGTTATGTCATCTATAATCTCTTTCGCTTTTCCTTCCTTTCTTTCTTTATGAGTGCTCTTTTGGGAAAAATGTATAATGAAAGTTTGAATCTAATAAAACTTCCCATTGCTTGAAAATTCCTATTTACATTGAACTGTAGTTTCGAACAATCAATTATGATGCCTTAATTGAGAGGTTGTTATAATCAGTCCATTGCCTGCTTCTCTAAAATTGAGATGTATTAAAATGGAAGTGAATATATGGGGGATGTTTTATGTTGTTTACGCAAAGAACCCACTAGTATAATGATTTGGAGTATTTATTCATTCAAACAAAGTCTTGAATTCGAGTCTTAGTATCAATGGCAAAGGACCCACTAGTGTATGATTTTAGTATACTATCATCATTCTCAATAAGAAAGGTTAAAAAAAAATAAAAAATTGAGATATGTTTTAGTTAGCACTCTAATCCAGCTATACAAAACGACAACACATCATAGGACGGGCCAGCTATCACTCGTTTATCTTGGACTTATGTATGTGTTGACCAAAAGAAGAACTTATACATCTGTAGTTTTATTGCTACATCTTTAATCGTATTTGTTTATGTATTATCTTTTTTGTTTTTTTGGGTTTTGGAGAGGAAGGATAATGATCTTTTTCTTTTGGCATTCTTTTTTCCTTTTTTCTTCTTTTGGAATAAAAGTTTTTTGGTGGGCTAGGCGTAAACCCCCTTTTTTTTTTCTTTTTAAAATAATTAAATAAAAGAAATAAGTCCAAAGTTGGACCACCCTCAAAGTTATGAGACGCCAATCTTTCTTCGTGTTTTTCTACCTTTCCCATAGTTAGAGAAGAGAATCAATTCCTTAATTCAAACTTAGTTTAATCAGGAAATCAAATAATTATTAGCGTTAATTTTTGTACATGTGATCGGGAGTTTGAATTCTGTACATTTAGTTATTAAATTAATAAGAATATAACTTTTTAGTCTTAATAAAAAGTATATATGTATTTTTCGTTGGAATGAGAAAAAAAAATTGAAAGCATCATTCTTATTTTATTTATTTATTATTTATTTAATTTCCTTGGACAGGATTATGGAGTTCAAATACTACTATATCGCACAACATACTTGGTGGATCTTGTCAACGAGAAGGTAGGCCGAGTGTTGAAGCTGGACTCAATTAGGAGCGGCAACGCATGGAGAGGCATGGACCTGCTGATCTTCGACACGTGGCACTGGTGGACCCACACAGGAAGAGCACAGCCGTACGTTTACACTCCCATTTTCATGGCATCACATGGTCTGTTTTTTGTCCATATCCACCAAAATTAACGGATCGTCTTCCACGTTTGCAGATGGGACTATCTGGAAGAGAGGGGCAAATTGTACAAAGATATGAACCGTCTGGTCGCGTTTTATAAAGGACTTACAACTTGGTCTAGATGGGTCAACCGATATGTTGATGCTTCCAAAACCAAGGTTTTCTTCCAAGGGATTTCTCCAACCCACTATGAGTGAGTAATCTCATCTTCAACTTCATTATGTTCTATTAATTATTATTATTATATATATTTAACATGTTATGTGGTCGTCATGTATAGTAGTCTTTAACCGTGATCGTTCATGAACTTATACTTGAATTTCATTTTGATTCTCCAATTTTTGGACGTGTTCCAATTTAGACATTTGGTAACATTTTTGGTTGGTAATTGTATCCAAATTGATGGTTTTATCCGGAAATAAACAGAATTTAACGGGAAGAATAAATTGGAACACGTTCTAAGAGTCGGAGGACCAAATTGACACAAAAACCTATATATGTATATAGTTTTTACTTTGTTAGAGGAAGTTCTTAGTTTGAATTTTATAAACGACTATTATAGATTAAAAAAAACCGAACATTTTCACCTAATCAATGTTTCTCATTGCCAAAAATCATACTTTGTTTTTACGATTGTCATGCTTAAATGAATTTATTAGTGAAATTCTATTATCTTATATAGTTACTTTTAGCTCTTCCTATGTGCTATCTAATCTCTTATATTTTGATTTGTGAAAGCAAACACTAACAAAGTGCAATCAATCTTACATAAGTGATGGTTGTTTATATGAAATTAGGGGCAGGGATTGGAACCAACCAACAAGATCATGCTCAAGTGAAACACAACCATTCTTTGGAGCAAAGTACCCAGCAGGCATTCCCTTGTCTTGGGTTGTAGTCAACAAAGTGTTGGCTAGGATTAAGAAACCAGTCTATCTTCTTGACATTACATTTCTCTCACAAATGCGTAAAGATGCTCACCCATCTAGGTATAGTGGCGGCCACGGGGGAACAGATTGCAGCCATTGGTGTCTTCCTGGCCTCCCCGATACTTGGAACGACCTCCTATATGCAGCTCTATTTGGTTGAAGGAAATAAAAAATAAAAAATTCACAAGCATTGATTAATGTTGTATTTAACGTAATTAGGTGCATTAATTCTTGAAAGAAACTCTCATTGTTTCAGGAAGTAGGGCATTTTATTACTTGTGCATTTGAGCAATAAAAGGGTTCGTGATTCAATTGTATATTTACATTATTTGGCAGTCAGATTATTGATCCATAGAATTGTAGAAAACTGCCCTTTAAATTATAAAACATTTTTTTTTGGGTGATTTAACTCGATCTCCCAGCCGTAGTGGAGCCATAAATTTTTCGAGGTAAGGGAGATGTAGCTGCACTTCTTTACACCCTAAACCCTAAACCCTTAATGTCCTAATATATATATATATATATATATATAATGTTTCTTGTATTTTCAATATTTTGTTAATATTTTTTGCATTTTAAATATTTTGTTAATATGTCTTGTGTAACAACCCGATCCTAAATTATTAGTTAATTATTAATTTATTCTAAATAAATGACCATTATACCCATAGAATATTTTAAATGGTTTAAAAGTTACCTTTTTATTCGGGAAGGAATTTGGGGATTTCAATTGTACCGTTGCGTAGAGCATGTCGAAACGATTTCGTGGACACGTAGTGGACTCAAATCGGAGTTGTAACAAAGAAACGGTGATCAAAAGAAGTTCAGTGGCATAACCGTAAATATTTCGAAGTTTAGTTAGTTTTAAACACAGAATTTCTGCATTTCATGGGGGGGCTCGATCAGACGACTTCCGGAGGTGATTTCTCTCAACTCCGACCACCAATTCAAGCAAGACCAGTCCCGTTAGAACCACCACACTTCCCTCTTCCAGCCCTAGTTCTTTGTCGCCCCGATCCACCGCCGTAGTCGCCGGAAACAGCCAAGAAACAGGCGGTGTTGGACAGTTTTTCGTAAACTTTCGCCGGCTCGTTCTCCGTCATCCGGCCACCATTTTCGGCGATCCAGGTATGGAAACTCATCTATTTCTCGATCCCTAGCTGCCAGTTGGGTAGGATTTGAGAAATTTCTAGCGTAGTTAACTCGATCTTGGATCCAAAGTTTGGCCGGATTTCGGGTTGAGATTCCGGCCACTTCCGGCCAGTTTTTGGGGTAGGTCCAAGAACAAAAGTGGCTCCAATTAGGGTGTTGCACCTAGGGTAGGAGTTTTGAGCCGTGATTTGGAGATTTTCCGGTGAAGCGGTATTGCTTTAGGCACCACGTGCTGCCGGCGCGTGTGGCGGCGCGTGGCGGCAGGGTGGGGACCACAATCAGTCCTAGAATAATCCCTTAGTCCTCACGAGCGCGTAGGATTTCGCGGACCTTAATTCGGATAACGTTTGAACCCCGAACGGATCTCGCCTAGTGTGTGATTTCCGGGTTCAGCATGTTTGACCCGTTGGATCGTAGTCATGTTCAGGTATGTTGACTCAGGTAATTCCAGCATTGTATAATAGTTGATGGATCGTAAAACGGAGTTCCAGATATTTTAGAAATGCCAGCCCTAGAGCTAGGTTTACAGTAAACAAGTCCGGATCGAAAGGAGTTATCTAAATCCTGTTATGGGATGAGCAGATAGTTAGTTATAGGTTGCGGCCCGGATAGAAGCAGTATCTCCGAGGCTTGCCAGTTTGCAGATCAGGAACAGAGGAAAGAATTACGTGTGGCTTGATTCCTTAATAAGGGTACGTAGGCAGCCTACAGTTATAAGGTGCAGCCACGAGTCAGAGCCTTTGAGTGTGTGTTATTGTTTTTCAGGGCATTTTGGTCATTTGTGACCCACACCCACCAGGTGTCAGTTATAAACAGAGTTGGGCCCGGATTCCAAAGTGGAATTTGGGTCAGGTCCTTTCATCTTGCATTTTCAATATTTTGTTAATATTTCTTGCATAAATAATATTTTGTTAATATTTGTTGCATATCTAATATATTTGTAAGGTTGATTGCATTTCCATTAATTTTTTTTTATGTTACTTGCATATCCAATATATTTTAAATATTTCTTGGATTTTCATTATATTTTTTTTATTAATAGATGATTCAAGCACATATGTGGTTTGGTGCAATTGGGTAAGGCAAAAAAGCTTTCAACCATCATGAATGTTGGGAGGCGGTGAAAAATTGCAAACGCTTCAGAATTAATCCCACGGGTCCCGCTGTTATGTTAAACGAGACGCCACTTCATGATTCAACGACATCGGATTCACCTCTCGATTCCCCTATGAGTCAAGACTCACCAATCGAAAAGGAGCTGAGACCCATTGGCCGAAAGGCTGCGAAGGCAAAGAAATGGGGTAATTCGAGCAGTAATACATCAAAAATTTTGGAGGAAATTGCAAGGCAGAGTGCCATAATAATTGAAATGGAGCAGAAACGCCAAGAGAACGAAATGGCAATTCGAGCAGAACATGCAAAAGAAAGGGAGTATTTGCGCAAAAAAGAGATGGACAAAACGGATCGGGAAACCATGGCGATGGATACAAGCCACATGTCCCCTGAAACAAAACAATTTTGGAAGTTAGAACGAAGGGATGTTATGAGAAGAAGACTTTTCCGTGACGATGGACCTAGCAACACGAATTGGTTAAATGATCAAAACCATTAAATTAGTTGGCATATCTTTTATTTATTTGTATTTTTCATGATTTGTATTTTTTTTTGGGTTTTAATTCATGTATTTTATTTGTTGGCTAGATAGAGATGCCACGTTGCTTGATTTGATTGGATGAAAATCTTATTTGAAATTTGAAATTTATCTGAAATTTGAATTTTGCAATTCATCCGAAATTTGAAATTTGAAATTCATCCTAAATTTGAACCCAAATTTATCTGAAATTTGAATTTTGAAATTCATTCGAAATTTGAACTAAAAAATTTATCTGAATTTGAATTTTGAAATTCATCCGAAATTTGAACCCAAAAATCTTATCCAATTATGAATAGTCTTGACACTTTGGAACTCGAAAATCTTATTCGAAAATATTATCCAAATTAATTATTGAGGTAAAAAAATTTGTGAAAAAAACAAAAAAGTGAATAGTAATTGCCTTTTGCCATGACAACGGGTGGGAACACACAATACTATTTGCAAGAGCAACCACTATTCACGTGAATAGTGGCTGCCCTAGGCCCCCCCTTACCATGACAAGGGACAAATAGGTGGAGTTGCTCTAAATATGCCAATGCGGAGACATGTTGACTTCATGATTTGTAGATAATTGCATTTTATCCTCTCAGGTTCGACATCAATTGCAAATTTAGATATCTTGCTTAAAAATTTGCAATGTCGTGCCCAACGTTGGTAGTGCAATGTTAGACCCTCGTAGTTTCACCGTTAAATAACGGCGCAGTCGATGAATCCTCAATCCTTACACTACGTGACCAAACTTATGACCAAATATCCATAAGGGACCGATTTAGCCACTCTTCATATATAAATTAAAAAACGAAAAAATTACAAGAGTTTATAATTCAAGTGATTAACAACAGTCATCTATGCATGTAATATCATGTGTTTGAATTCCCTTTCATTCAAGAGCGAAACTGTGTATAGGCGGCCTGGGCCCAATGCAGCTTTGGGGCTGACTAAATTCTGCCCATATATAGAGCTATAGGCTTTTATCATATTTAGCCCATCAAAACCAGCTTGAAAACATTTTGACCCACAACCCATAACCCATAACAAAACATTTGATCAATGGCTCACTCGACAAAATATTTTTGCAATCAATCGCTGTTTGAACCCATAAATCAGTGTTCCTTATTGGTAATTATCTTATTCATGAAGCTAATGCGGAGTATCTCTGAGTCTCAAATCGAACTAGACATGCCATGTGTTTTGCACAACCGAAGAAGTCGACCTCCGTGGCACCAAAAGACTTCGCCACGTATCACTGTATGTACGGACAAACCAATGTGCGATAATGCTAATCTAAAACAATTGACGTGTGAGCTCCTGGTCGAACATGATATCTGACTCTTCCCCAGAACCCACCACGTGGCATTGCTCCACCCAACACGTCCTTCTCCATGCATAGACGTCCTTACCACCTCCTCGGGCACCGCCATGGCTTCATGTTTTTAACACCAATCTCGAACCACCCTTTCTCATCAGTTCTCAAACTCAGAAAAAAGCAAAACAAAACAAAACTCAAAACCAAAACCAGCAATATTAAACAGCTTTCAATATTTTCGAGAGAAAAAAAAAGAGAGGAAATGGCTTCTGAGCAACAAATGAGAAGGGAAAATACCACCTCGGAGAGGGAGGTGGAGATTGAGAAAGACAAGGTGCCGAAGATCACGACCCACTTTGAGGCTCTGAGAGTGGCGGAAGGCAAAGACACTTCTCTGGACAGCAGCAAGCAGTCGCAGCAGCAGCATGAGGATAAAGCGCGGAGTGGAAGCACGGCGGGTGATGTGGGCATGGGAAAAGCAAAAGAGGCTCATGAGCTCGAGTCTCTCAAGGATCAAGTAGAGAAGGACAAGGATAAGGAGAGAGAAGCGCGGGCTGATCAAGCGAGGACGGCGAACATGGTGGCGGAAAAAGAGGCAGAGGCTAAGAGAGAGAGCGAAGGTCAAGGAGGAGGCGAAGGTGGGAAATTTGAAGAGCACCACCAAGGGCAAGGTCAAAGTGAAGGTCAAGGCCAAGGTGGAGCGCGTCCTCAAACTCATACGAAGGTTGAAGAGCACCAACGACAAGCCGGGGCTCAAGGCCAAGGCGGTGGTCAGGTTGGAGAGCACCAACTACAAGCCGGGGCTCAAGGACAAGGAGGTGGTGGTCAATATCATGCGAAGGTTGAAGAGCACCAAGGACAAGGCGGAGGTCGTCAATCTCTTGGGCAAGCTGGAGGTGAAGGAAAAGGCGGAGCTCAATCTGTTGGTAAGTTTGAAGTGAGTGGTGAGGAAGAGAAGGGTTCGGCCAATAAAGGCCGAGAAATTACTGAAGTTGATAAACAATCTAGATGCACACAGATAGGCCAGGGTATAGAGAAAATGACCCTCGATGAAGAGAAGAGTTCTAAAGGAGGCAGAGAAAGTGAGATGAAAAGCAGGGAAGAAAAGGAAGGAAGAAGCACAAACATGACGGGCAGAGGAGATCAGGGTGGAGAGAAAATGGATGGTGGGGAAGAGAAAGGCTCTAAAGGCAGAGAAGAAAAGGAGGGTCGTCAGCAGCAAAACAAAGAACAGCAACCATCTTTGGAAGAAATCTCAAAGTTTAGAGCAGCAGCACAGCAGAATTCCATGGAGGCAATAAGAGCCGCGGAGGAGCGTTATGCCCAGGCTAAAGAATCGGCGAGGCAAGGGATTGGCAGCGCAACCGAGTTTGTCTCAGAGAGAGGTGAGCAAACCAAGGAGACACTCGTCCAAGGAGTACAAACTGCAAAAGAAACTCTTAGCAGCGCAGGCAAGACGGTCGTGGAGAAAACAGCCCCAGTAGCAGAGAACGCGAAAGATGTGGCGGTGTCCGCGGGACAGACCACTCTGCATTACGTGGGAGAAGGGGAGGCGAAGGCCAAGGACGTGACGTTGGAGGGCGGGAAGACTGCGGGGGCATATGCCGGTGACGTGGCGGTGGGTTTGAAGGACAAGGCGACTGTGGCTGGCTGGAGTGCCGCGCATTACACGACAGAGGCGGCAGTGGAGGGGACCAAGTTGGCGGCTAGAACTGTGAAAGGGGCGGCGGAGTATGCGGGTCATACAGCTGTGGATATTGTTTCCAAGCCCTTGATTATGGCTAAAGATGCTGCGGCGGTGGCCGGTGAGAAGGCAGGGGAGTACACTGCTAGGAAGAGAGAGGAGGCACAGAGAGAACTGGAGGCCAGGTCAGCTGAGCAAAATAAGTCACAGGTATGGAACAGTACAAATTACATGTTGCTTTTATTTTTTTAAAATTCCATCTCACATCTTATATGTGCATCATTTTAATTGAGCCTTGTGAATTTATACATTAGCTGCACATATGTGTTAGAAACACCTATGTTCTGTAGAAATGTATCAGATGAGTACATTGTGTTTTAATCAATATTTGGTTTTACTTAAGGGGGGTCAGACTCAACAAGGAAGAGAAAAAGAGGGATCCAAAGGGGGCCAAGGGGAGACTGGTCAGGAATGGCAGAGTCAAGTTCAGGGCACCATGAGAGGTGAGGACATCGGTCAAAAGGGAACGCAGAGCGAAGGTGGTGATCAGCAAAGAAGAGAGGAGAGGACTTATGAGGAAGGCGGTGACAAAGCCAGTAGTGAGGAATACAGGAGTGGCATGGATACCTCTCAAGTGGCCGGTGGAGGTGCTGGCATGGGGGTGGTGCTGGGAGCAATCGGGGAGACTCTGGTTGAGATCGCGCAGACGACGAAAGACATGGTGATCGGGCAAGAGGAGGAGAAGAGTGGTAAGCAAGGGGAGTGGAATTCATCAACTGATCAACAGGGCAAGATGAAGTGAAGCATAAATCAAAGAGTTAATATAGGAGTTTCTCAGTCGTTAGTTTTGACTGAGATTTGTGGTACTTGTAATTTGTGTTTATGATTTTGGTTTGGGTGTTAAGTTCGTTTTGTGTTGAATAAATTTGAATATGCATTCTGTATTCAAAACTCGTTGCTGCACTTGCTCTGATGAGAGGTCTAGTTTTTGCGTCTCTGGACCAACTTTCTTAACCTAGACCAACTTTATATAAAATAAAAATAAAAATCGGGATGAGATACCCTTGTTGGAAGTTTGAAATTGGAAGTTTGAAAGCAAATGTCTCCCATTGGAGGAAACAACAAAAGGTTCTACATGTTTTATATGTAATAACTCGATCATAAATTAATCTTTAATTATTAAATTATTCAAGAAAAAAACGATTTTAACAGAGAATATTTTAATGGGTTTAAAATTAACTTGGGTTCAAAATTAACTTTTTGTTCGGAAAAGAATTTGGGGATTTGAGCTGCACTGTTGCGTAGAGCTAGATGATATGAGTTCATAGACAAGTGGCATGTTCAAATCCGAGTTTTAATGAAGACGTTATGATCTACAGAAAGGTAGTGACACAATCGTAATTTTTGCGAAGTCAAGATTTTTTTATATAGAAAAACTGGCAGCTCTCTCTCTCCTCTGTTTCTCTCTCCCTGCGACGGTGGAGTTACTGACAGCGATTCCTTCGCCGTCAAGTCGAATCCGGTGACGCCACCACCACCAAAATCTTCGTCTCTCTTCCCTCTTCAAAACCCAGTACATCTTGGAGATCAAAACCATAAATTTAGGGCTCAATTATAGACAAAACCGAAGCCCTGTTTTCCAGCTGCTGTACCGGAAGTTTCAAACTTCATTCCGGCCAACTCCGGCCATTACAAGCCACGATATCACCATAAAAACACTCCTCTACCTCTCTTCTATGTTTTCCCTCGAATATTCGACTCTATTCCACGCCGGATGGCTCGATTTAAGGAAGAAAAGTATCTAGGTTTTCCAGCGAAAGAACCAGCTGTTCGAGGGCTTTAACGGCCAATTCGATCTTCGATGCACGTACATAAATCACTCCTCTTGAAGTGCTGATTATGTTGGTATGCGTGGCGGGAGGAAATTTTAAGTTTCGTCGTCGCCAAAATTTTGCTCAAGACACCTTCTGGCGGTGGCGGCGCGTGGCAGCGGGTCGTCGATGACATGATTCGGACTTATAATGATCCCTATGTCGTCCCGAGCATGACAGTATGTTCGGATTTGGTTTTGGCCATTGTTTGACGGTTGATTGGATTTACGCATATTAGGTGTTATTTGGGTTCGATACACTCGAACCATTGAATCGATTTCATTTTCAAATATGTTGATTTAGGCATCTCTAGGATAGTGTAGGAATTCGCGGATTGTAAATCGGAGTCTCGGATGATCCGATTCAAATATGTTGATCTAGGCATCTCTAGGTGGTGGAAGGAGATTCATTGTTTTGATATCTGTTGGAAGGGGAAATGACAGGTGTTAGTGTAAGATAAATGGAAATTTTAGACCGAAAGCAATAACAATTATCACATAATGAAAGTTCAAAAATCTCATAGGACGTGGAGAAGCACTTGGAGAAGCCTTGGACACCACAAGTAACTTCAGAAATGAGGTTTTCCACTCTTATTGCATTCATTATGTTTTCTCATTTCTGTTTAAGTTTCATTTCCATTATGAGTAGCTAAATTCATAACTAGGACTTTGATGTAACCTAACATGAATATTTTGGGTTTATAAGTTGAAGTTTTGAATTTCAAGTTTGATGCATGATTCATGTTCTTATTCATTATGCTTATCAGTTAATATGCTTGTTTGGATGATTGATCACCATTAAAACTTGTATATTAGCTATCTTGGTTTGAATCAAGAGTAGACACCATGCTTTGATTCGAATTGAACTATGAATAAGAAAAGTATGTATGGACATTCGATAACAGAGATTAGATACATGTTTGGTTGTTTAAATTGTTCTTCTATGCTTAATGGGTTCCTAATGCTTAATTTAGGTTAGACAACAAATGATCAAGTTAGGGAATTAGGAACACAAGGTTAGGACCATACACCATGGCCTAATCATACTTTAGCTAGAATCAATCTTTGAATCCGAATTAAACTTGTCACTTGACTCCTTATAACCAAGAATTGAATTGTTATGGTGAATCGAATGCCCTAGTCTCCCAATATGTTTTCCAGCCTACAAAAACATTCTTTGTTACATTTGCTCGCTTTGGTTTTGTTTGAAATTTCGTTTTGCCTCATTTGTTCAACAATTACAATCACTCTTGCTTTAAATTCTATTTTAGACTTAACCTTCTACTTTCTTGAATTTGGTAATCTAAGTACATAACTAATTTTAATTTCTCAGTCCTCGTGGGTACGATCTCGTACTTGTCTTGCTATATTACTAATTGGCCTGTACAATTGCGAGTTAACATTTTAACAACATGTAGGAATTCGCAGATTGTAAATCAGAGTCCTGGATGCTCCGATTCAAATATGTTGAACTAGACATCTCTAGGTGGTAGAAGGAGATTCATTGTTTTGATATCTGTTGGAAGTGGAAATGGCAGGTGTTAGTGTAAGATAAATGGAAAATTTAGAGTGAAAGCAATAACAATTATCACATAATGGACAAACAACAGTTTAGATACATCAGATTTAAGCTTGACTTTGAGATAGAACCCAAACATAAGATTTCCCTCCCTATTTATAGGAAAAGTTCCTTCAATTTTTAACAGTTCTTAGTAACCCTTCCAGTAGGTAGAAATAACGTAAACAATTGCCATGCATAGTCTTTTAAAAAATGAATAGAAAACTAACCTGTAATCAGAGAAGCTATCAAACACTTCCCAAAAGCACTTCAAACACATATGACAAAAGCAGCTCCAGTACACATTGTCTTCACTCACACACACGAGATTGGACAGAACCAATTTAGGAAAATTAGGTTTTAGCCAAAAAAAAATTTCACTTTTGGAAAAAGCCAAAGTTTTTTCAAAAAAGACAGAAAAACCTTTCAACTTTCAAATCAAAGACATACAAATGTAAAGGATTCCTTAGGAAATTCAAAAATAAATAAGGGCAATTTTGTCCATTTTGGCTTCTTTTACAAAATTTCTCTCTCCTTTGTGTTTTTCCAAAGTCTCCCAAGATTGTTGATTGGGAAGAGACTGAACGGCTGCAACAATACAAGTTAGGTTAACTCTTTTTCTTCTTCTTTTTTTTTCGAAAGGTTAATTTTTTCGAAGTGTTAAATTTTTAGCCTTGATCAAATTTAAATGAGGTGGCATGTGGAGAAGAGAAGTCAAGCAGATCATGACAGAAAAAAAATCAAGCAGAGAATCTAGATCCCTATATAAGAGCATATATTGGTTAGAATAATTATAGTAGGCTGAGATTCTATCCTCTCCAATGAAACCAAATTGATTATAATGGCAAATTTATTGTCCTAAACAACAAAAGATGATAGACCTACACTTTCTATAAAATGTTTTACCATGAATAATTCCTCAACCATATGAAACTCATCATTTTGGTCCTTCAAATTGAGCAACGTAATGAGTTTGACTTAATTGTTCTTTTAGTAAAATCGGTGTGAATTTGGGACATGGCACATTGGCTGGATATTGCACATAATTGAAACGACTATACCCCAAAACACAAATTGCATCAATTCCAAAGGTCTCTTGGAAAAAAAAACAGAAGAGAAACATAAATAACTCAAAAGGATTAATGGTTTTGAGTAAAACATGTTCGAATGATCGAACTATGCTTCAATTTAATTTTGAAAATAAATGCATGGATTATGCTTCTATTTATATGATATGTATAGTACAGTTTGTCTTATTTGTAGTAGTAACCATGTTATAATTAGAAATTTTTAGGGAGTTTAACTAAAACACCCAAAATGGGGTCTGAAATTATAAAAAAACCCAACATCCAAAACACTTTATAAACACACCCAAAACTCATCATTACACACACTTAAAACCCATTTATAAACACACCCAAAAAATATACAATTGTTTATTTTGGGGTTGATTTTTGGTGTGTTTCTATGTTTAAATAGTGCTTGGGTTTTTTTATAAATACATGTCTAGGATTGAGTTTATTTATAAATTTGTAAAATTTTTATTAGTTTCCTCTTCAGATGATAGCTAATTATATTTAATTGGTGTTTAAACTCTAAATCTTCTTCTTTGGATGTTACAATATTATGGGAAGACATTCACGATGGGGACTACGCCTGCTTACCATCAGGAGCAATAAACAAGGGAAGCAGCTGAAGAAGATGTTTGATCTGCAACAACAACAAAAAACAAGTAATAACCTGTTGAAGACTCATGCAGTTCTCTTTAGTCTTTGGTGAGAAAAGAAAAGGTGGCAGATTTAAACCAAACCATTACAAAGAAAAAGAAAGATGTACAAGAATCTCATGCAGTTGAAGCGCTCATGTGAAGAGCTACTAATGATGCATAAGATCCATCCGAGATATTCATCAAAGTATCATGCTTGCCTCTCTCTACGATAACCCCATTTTTTACCACTGCGATCACATCAGCATTCTTGATTGTGGATAGTCTATGGGCAACCACCACAGTGGTCCGGTTTACCATCACTCCGTCTAATGCATCTTGAACCACTCTCTCAGATTCAGCATCGAGTGCACTTGTAGCTTCATCTAACAGTAATATCTTGGGGCTCTTGATTATAGCACGCGCAATGGCTATGCGTTGCTTCTGTCCCCCAGACAATTGCACTCCTCGTTCTCCTACTATGGTGTCAAACCCCTGCATAATGCATTCGGATTAATGTTGCAACAATCTATTACAAGTTATAATTAAGATCAGTCGACTTGTACCCAAAAACATTATTATAATGCATTAATGTTCTAACCTGTCCTAAGCTACTTATGAACCTGTAGGCATTGGCCAACTCTGATGCAGCTATAATTTCGGCCTCAGTTGCATCTCCTTCTTTTCCATATGCAATGTTGGCGCGGATGGTGTCGTTAAATAAAGCAGGTTCTTGGCTCACAAGCCCCATCTGTTGCCTTAACCATTTCAGTTGGAATTTTCCAAGTTCAATTCCATCAAGTGTGATATGACCTGAATCCGGATCATAAAATCTTTGCAACAATGCTACTACTGAGGATTTTCCACTCCCACTTTCTCCAACCAAGGCAACTGTCTGCAAAAGAGATTCACACAAGAACCACCTATATGAAGACCTAAACTTCATCATCATGTCATCAAACTAAAATATTATAAGATAATAAATTTATTTTTAAAAAAATAACAGAATTGAAATCCAAATCAATGATGAAATGCTTACATTGCCACAATGAATAGTCAAACTTAGGTCTCGGAAAATCTGTATGTCTGGCCTAGATGGATATTTAAAGACTACACGGTGAAGCTCAATCTCCCCCTTTACGCTGTCCAATTTCACACCAGACTCGTCACTAGAGTCTATCTTTGACTTCCTGTCTATTATTGCAAATATGGAAGCAGCAGCATTCTTGGCTTTACTAAAATCAACAGCAAAGGAGCTGGACTGAGAAATTCCCATAGCTGCCATGGTTAAAGCATAAAAAACCTGCAGGCCAAATGCACATCTTAAAACCATCTACATATGCTTTGGTCTTGTTTTAAAAACTATCCGATGAATGGAGGGAATAATTACTTGGAAAACGTGTGAAAATGTTGTTTTCCCAGCCTCAACAAGTTTAGCTCCCGCATAGAAACAGGTTGCATAGACACAAAACAGAGAGAAGAAAGATATTCCAAATCCTATTCCGCTGATCAAGCCTTGTCTTTTCGCTGCCTCCGTAGGGCCTTCACATTTCCTTCTGTATAGGTCCATTACCTTTTCTTCAGCACAGAAAGAAGCAACTGTTCTTATGCTCCCAACTGCATCATTTGCAACTTGGCTTGCTTCCTCATACATCATCTGCAACCATTTAATTATACATCTCGATCGTTAGAAGAAAGAAGGGATTTGAATTTACAAATTGTGAAATGTTCTAATAATCCAGAATTGCCACTTGAAAATGTAAATGTGGACAAATTATAACCGTATTTAAATGAGAAAGCTTTTACTTTCAGGGAGCGCTAGATCATACCTTTGCATCTGCACTGAATCCTTTCATGAACTTTGCTTGAACATATCCGTTAATTCCGATCAGAGGAATCAATGCGAGTAAAATGAATGCCAGCTGCCAACATGCAGTAAAACCAATGAACAAACCTGCAGCTGCCATGGCAATGCTCTCAACTATCTGAGCTAGTGTGTCTCCTACTAGGGCCCGCACTAGAGCGGCATCTGCTGAGAGCCTGGCACCAATTGCACCACTTGAGTTCTCAGCCTCATCAAACCACCCAACCTCCATGTGAACCACTCTCTCAAAACAAATCAATCTGATACGTTCAATTAACTTACTACCAGCCACAGAAAAGAAGTATTCTCTTGCTGGGATCACCAATAATGATGCCGCACCAAGGGTCATAAACATAATTGCCCAAAACTCTGAATCTTTCTTTTGTTGACGAGGTGGTTCATAGAAAGTCTTTACTACCTTGGACAAAAGCAAACCAAAAATTGGAATCATAACACCAGTGATGATTGCAGCTACAGTTCCAATAAGAAGCACTGGAGTCTCGGGCTTATTGAGGGCAGCAAGACGGTGCATTGAGATCTTTGGAGGTTGCTCTAATGGCAGGGCAGGGGCTTCTGGATCTGACTGCAATGTGTTGTTCTCACGCTTGCTACCAACAGAGGAATTCCGACTTAAGGATCTTACTAACGCCATCCTTTGACTCAACTGTCTAAAACATTTCGTAGTAATTTCGGATTTGTCTTGAGCTTCTGCTGTTTGTTCTGATTCCTTGTTTACTTCTTGCAAGCGTATAAGTTGAGAGTATGCTCCTTCAGGATCCTTGATTAAGTCTGAGTGCGAGCCTGATCAGTTGACAAAAAGTTACTGTTAATTGATATATACAGAAAGTACTGATCAGAGCTAACAGCCTCTGTGTATATCTTTCCATTGTGAATATATACTGCTGTTTCTCTTCACCCTAGTAGATAAAATTATGCCAGATCCATATAATAATTAACTGCAGCAGCAGTGGACTTCCTGTTGCCTTTCACATTATTTATAAGCCATACGTCTGCGCTCTAAGTGCCAATCTCCCAACTAGTCTTAAACAAATGACAAAATGATTATCTTTTGCAGTAAATAAATTTTTAGTTGTAGCTTAGTTATTAATCTGTTTGGCTCTATTTACATCATCCTCTAAGGTAATTCTGCAGAAATAATTAATCTGTGTGCATAAAACAGCATAATTTAATTTGCTGCAATCTCCAAACAATGGGTGGGAAAATAATAAGAATGTGCTATGAATGGCCTTGTTAGATGGAATACCTCTTTCAACCATCTTTCCTTTCTGAATGATAGCAATTGTATCTGCGTTCCTCACCGTGCTCAAACGATGAGCTACAATAACACTAGTTCGGTTGACCATAATCCTATCCAATGCTTCTTGAACTATCCTTTCAGATTCTGCATCAAGTGCACTTGTAGCCTCATCCAGAAGTAAAATTCGTGGATCTTTCAAAACTGCTCTTGCTATAGCAATTCTCTGCTTCTGCCCACCAGACAGCTGAGTTCCGTGCTCACCCACCATGGTGTCAAACCCCTGAACACGAAATATATATGCAATTCCAAAGTGAAGTAAGCCTATATTATGTTCTTATGATGATCATGCGTGCATATATGTACAGTTCAATCAAAATGAGCTGGCTAGAGGAAATAAATTAGAACCTGGGGCAGTTTATCAATAAATTTAGCAGCATTTGCAAGTTGAGCTGCTGCTTCTATCTCTTCCAGAGTAGCACCATCTTTTCCATAGGCAATATTTTCCTTAATGTTGGATGCAAACAATACAGGTTCCTGGCTGACAAGACCAATTTTACTCCGAATCCATTTGAGCTGAAATTCTTTTAGGTTTATACCATCTATCAAAACTTCACCATCTCTTGGATCATAAAACCGCTCTATCAGACTGATGACTGTTGACTTCCCACTTCCACTTTCTCCAACCAAAGCTGCGGTGGTGCCACTAGGGATATAAAGTGAGAACCCGTCGAATATTTGTTCATCTGGTCTGGCTGGATAACTGAAAAATACCTCTCTCAACTCTATATCTCCACGAATGTCATTCATTGTCTTTCCTTTTTGTCATAGGCATCAATCTCTGGCCTCCTACTGATAGTCTCAAACATCTTAAATGCTGCAACTTGACCAGCGGCGAATGCACTTAAGCACGTTGATGCCTGCCCCAGAGACCTAACACATATCCCAAATAGTTCCAAAAGAAAGAAAATTATTAAGAAAAAAAACAAAGGGAAGAAATTTGAAAGTTAAGAGTGGAGCTTACATGGATGCAGTCAAAACAGCAAGAATCACATTCAGCACATCACCCCCGGAATATCCTTTTTCCCTTATCATTCTTGAACCAAACCATACAGCCAAGGCATAAGAGAAGAACAAAACTAGCATAACCAAACCATGACCTATTCCAGCAGCCGAACCTTCATGAACACCTGATTTGTAAGCATCTACAAGATTTTTACTGTAACTTGTAATAGCTTTCTTCTCTCCAGTAAAGGATGCAACCTAGATATATAATATAGGAACCAACCAAATGAAAAACATCATATATATTCTTGGTTGGTCACATAAATAAATTAAAAGAAATTAATTATTCCAATAACTAGCTCCAAGGCAAATAAATGTACGTTATGTGCCTACATACGGTTCTAATGGAGCCTATCGTCTGATCAAGAACGTTTGCTGCTTTTGCGTAAGCACTTTGTCCATGGGATGCCATCTTGGTTACAATGAAGGATATGCATGCACCAGCTGCCACAAGCAGAGGAACACAGGATAACATGACAAGGGTAAGAGGCCGCACTTTGATGAATGCTATTATAAACCCTGCAATGAATGTTGAAAATAGCTGGACAAATTTCCCAACCTGCACCAACAAGTTGTTGTTACATTATTATAAGAAGAGTAACACATTTCAAGGTTTCTATTCTTCCATTCCATTTCCAGGTGATTTTTATTTTTATTTCTTGTACTAGTACACGTACCTTCTCACCCATGGCATTTTGTATGAGAACAGTGTCGCCGGACATTCTCCCAACGACCTCTCCACCGTTTGTTTCCATATCAAAGAAAGCAATATCTTGTCTCAATATTGTTTTCAAATACAAAGCTCTTATCCTTGCAGCTTGTCTTTCCCCTGTTACCATCCAGCAACCGACCTCTATTGAACAGAAAAAAAAACAGATGCTTATCAATCAGTACAAATGCTCAATTAATATATAGAAAAAGGAATTTCTCCATGCATTGCATTATCAAAAACAAAAACTTATGATATGTGCTTACGAAGAGTTGCAGCTACAGCTGCCCAGATAGCCAAATACACAAATTTTAGAGAGACCTGCAATTTTCCAAGATAAGTGATCATCAAGATGTTCAGCGAATCAATAGAGGAAGAGATATTGAAACAAAATATATGTATAAAAAAACATCTGAGCTCCAGAAGTCATCAGGATTTTCTGGAACTTGAATATTTCACCTCATAAATTAAAACAGAAGTTGATAATGTAAATAAAACTAGACGTTTTTTTCCAGTGGTGGTGATTAAAACTCAGGTTGTAACTTGTATGTAGACTTGTGAAACATAAGTTTACCTTGGAAACAACACTGAGTCCTATGTGTGTATTGTTTTGATTAGTTCCAAAAGAATCACTCATCTCCCCGACCAGTATCGTCATAATTGACATACATGAACCGTTCCCCACGGCACCAATCGTGCCGATGAGCATCAACAGAATATCAGTCTTATCTGCAAACGAAAATAACTTATAAATGCAACATTGTCAGTTTTCTCGTCTCTTCCATAGCTGCTCTTGTTATCATCCCTGTTCATCATGCTAGACCTCCTTTCTTCTTGTTCTTCTTCTTGGTCTTGGTCTTGCTTTTTGATTTTGTATTATTATTTCCCACTTACCACCAGACTTTTGATGTCTCAGTATGTGGGTATTGACATTTTGTCGTTATCGAGTCAAGGATTTTATTTATTAGCAGATTTTGTATATCTCCATTCACTCAATGACAGCCGTATATACATAGTTATTTATTTATTTATTTAAAATTTTGCTAACATATATATATATATATAGTTTCCTTACAGCATCAACAATCATGCTCTCTATTTTTTAGTTAAATTTTAGCTAAAATTATATAAAAGTTATTTTAAGAGCTCTCTATAAAATTTAAACTCTGATCATACTCTCTAGTTTAAAGAGTCATAAATGCTATAACTCTTTTTAATTGGTCCATCTCTATTAAAAAATAATTAATATTAATTAAAGGTTTGAAATACTTATTAAATAAAGCAGCATTAAATTACAGTGAGTCACTAGGAGTTCTTTCTCTCTCCTCAGATTTAGGAACTCCTAGAGATCTCTTTATTTTAGGAGGTGGATAGAGAGCATAGTTGGAGTTTTATTTTTCCAATGAATAATGCTACTCTTACCACATTTGTATACCACATTTTTATATCATCTTATGTGATAGCTGAGGTGGACAGCCACATCAATTAAAATTGGGTCATGCTAGGGAGACTAACTTTAGATACTAACTTGTGTACCAACTCTCTAATAGAGGTAGAGCCTACTAATACAATGGGTCCCACGCTCTAGTAGAGAGTTGGTACACAAGTTGGTATCTAAAGTTGGTCTCCCTAGCATTTTTCATTAAAATTATATAATATTTTCTTTTCTTTTATGATTTATTCCAGTATTTGTTTTTCTAATTGTCTTAATTAAAATACACTTCATTGATTTAATTGATGTGACATATGATATGGACATGCCACATCATGTGGTATAGAAATGTGAGATAAAAATGAGATAAGTATAGCATTTCATCCCTAAAATTTGTCTAAAAAAGTGGTTTAGAAAGCCCATTTTGGATGTTCTTTTAAATCTTGTAATATACATCACACTAATTATTGTATATAGTACACTCTAATATTCATACTTCATAAATGGCTTTTATCGCAAATCGTCCATGAGATTAGCGAAATTATCATTTAATCTTTTTTTTTGTGTGATATTAATAGTCCTGACCTATTACACATCAAAATGGTCACAGGCTCCCAGCCGTTAGAAACTCTGTTAAGTTGTTGACTTGGAAGGCAAGTGGGCTCCACATCTCCAATGACACCGTGCTATGTGGATAAGATAAAAAAAATTTATGAAAAACTATGAAGAATTAAAACAATTTATGAAAAATTTGAATTTTTTTTCCAGCCCCCATATACTCTCCCTCTACTCTCTCTCAAGAAGCACAGATACACAACTCGACTAGTGTATCCCGTATCTGATACGTTGGGGGATATGATATGCAGTGGATACGCACATATACGCGCAAGATACGTATATGAGTCAATGGATACGGTCAATGACTAAAGGATACATGTATTTGACAAGACATATACGGGTATCCCAATTTTAGGATACATTTTAGGAAAAACTTTTGGGAAAAATTAGAATTCGACACAAATTTGAAGTCTTGAACAACACGAGATGTTTGCCTTACCTCTTTTGAAACTTTGAAGATATTTTCCTGATCTTCTTCTTCTTTATATAAATAAAGAAGCAAAGCCGACCCCCACCACCCATCAATTCTTCTTCTCCTTCTTCATCAATTCCTCTTCTTCTTCACCCATATAAAAGAAGCCCAGGTTCTTGAATTTATCTGGTGTGATCGTGGTGGTGGAATTGTTGGTGAATTTTGGTTCTGTCTGTTTCTCACGCTTCTCTCTCTGATATGTGTTCTCTGGTCCAACTTTTTTCTCTGTTTTTGGTTATGCATGTTCACACTTTTTGTCCTTATGCGACCAACACTTTACATATATATTATTATATTACATATAATGTAACCAACACATGTATTATATCATTATTATATTTCATGTCCCCCCCTCCCTCCCTCCCTCCCTCCCTATCACGTGATGAGCAATTTGATTAAAAAAAAATTTGTGGTTAGGTAAATTAATAATATTATATTTAATATGTTGAATTTTATTTATATTCAGAAATATGAGTCATTCGGATAATAGTGCAAGTCCTAATGTTAATCCTACTGAGAATAATGAAATCGACTTCAATTTTTTTTTCTTTCTATAGTTTAAATTTGAATTTGGTTGATGAATTTGAATATTTATGTTAATTAAAATTTGTTTTAAATTATATATATATTGTTATTATTATATTTTAATATAAATTTTTAATTGTCGTATCCATGACGTATCCTAGTTTTTGGAGATTTGCCGTATCCCCATGTCGTATCGTATCGTATCGCCGTATCCGTATCCATGTCCGTGCTTCTTACTCTCCATCTCCCTCTGATATTTTTCCAGCCCACCACCCCCGATCCCCACTCGCAACCATGCCACAGCTGCATCCCCAACCCCAACCCCTCACCCTCTCCCACTATTTTTTCTCTCCCCTTATACTCTCCCTCTCTCTCCATATGACTTCCAATGGCCCCTTTCCCCCACCCCTCCCCTATGGTGTTTTTTTGTCCCCCACGACCTCCTACCCCAAATGCTATCGA